AGGTCATTAATCATTACTAGAAATAACCACGGACCAAGCTTCGTCCCTTGTGGAACCCCAGCATTAACTGGTTTCCACGTAGAAAAACAGTTTGAATTAAGCTTCACTCTTTGGAATCTTCCACGTAGAAGATCGACAATCCAATTTAGAACCAATGATTTCAAATTAAGTCGTCGTAACTTCTCATAAAGTATATTATGATCTATAAGATCAAACGCTTTACAATAGTCTGTTAGAAGTGTTCGCACAGACCCACCCGCCTTGCCCACTGTCTCTGACCAACGATGGATCAAAGAAATCAATGCAAGGGTGGTACTTGATCCTAGTACAAACCCGTATTAATTAGGATCAATAGATTTCATTAACGTCGGTTGAAGATCCCTCATGATTACAAAATCCTCGCGTTATTCTCTGTCATGGGTGAGATATTATTATCCAAACGGAGATATCCTTGCATGGGTTCCAAGAAAGTACTGTTAATCGTATTACTTAGTGTGACAGGATCCTGAATATCGTGTTCTAAGTTTGAAAATATGGAATTACATCCTGATCCTGACGGAAGACCACACAAACGTTTTACCTTGTACCACCAATCTTTAGGCTTACTTTGCTTTATATCCTTTACTTTAGCTTCGTAATATGCTTTCCGACACTTTTTCCTCATTCTATTAACTTTATTTCGCAACTGTTTGTATAAAATATCGTTATTCTGTGCAAAATCTCTTTGCCTTTTATTGATCAGCGATTTGAGATTACAATTCATCCACGGTCGGTCATTTTTCCGTATCTTAACGGTTTTTAGTGGCGCCAGAGTGTCTAATCCATAGTTGATAATGTTGGTTAGAGTATCTAGGTTTTCTTCACAACTGAATTCAGGAGTGATCACAAAATCCCATGGAACTTCACAGAAAAACTGACCAGGACGTCGTACAGTGCTTTTATCATGTACATGGCATACTTATTTCGTTTGAATGTCTTTCGACCTGAGCTTAGGTAACGCAAGAACAGTTACATGATCTGACAGACCCAGTGGTGGGGCACAAAAAGGTGTATCATAAAAATCAGCAAGGTTTGTCATAACTAAATCCAATTTACTTGAGCCTCTTGTTGGAAAGTTAACAATTTGTTTGAGTTGGAAATGTCGAGAAATATGCCCAACAGCAATTTATTAAAGTCGCCTGCGATAATCAGTCCACAGTTCGGTATTTCGCTTCAGCAAACTCCAGAGATGACTACAAATATTCTGACATAAGTTTGTTATTCGCACTTGGGGGGTGATATAATACAGCGATGATAAGCCTAGAAAAACCTCTGGGTAGGCGACGTGGATTAACAACAACCCAAAGGACCTCAAGGCCGTATTTGTTTGGCATTTCAAGAATATTAACTGTATGTTTTTCTTTCACGTATATGCACACTCCACCGTGTTCTCTTTCCGTTCTATTAAGTCTGACCAAGCTATAGTTATCAATGTTAATTACACTGTCCGGAATGTTAGATTTCAACCAGGTTTCCTTTAATAAAACAAGATCAGGATTATGTTTATCAATTACATACGCTAGCTCATCAATCTTGGGAACCAGAGACATGACGTTGGCCAACATAATGGGGGGAACATAGGTGACACATCGTGACTCCTTTCCTGTCAGAGGTGGCTGGGAGGGCGGAATGGAATTTATATGAGTATCTTTTCCGGGAGGTCGTGGTGTAATTGTGCGTAATCGGGATGTAATCGGTGAGACAATACTCGGGTGATCGGGATGCAAACTTGTGTGAACGAAGTCCAAATAAGCATTCCATCCTGGGGGGCGACTGTGGTTTCTCGTATGTCGAAAAAAACGGGTATGGTTTTTCTTTTTGTAACCATGTTTCTTCCTTCCTTTACATTCTCGGTTGCTGTAAATATTACGCTTATCGCAGCGACTGGTGATTCGGACCGGGATTGTGTTTGTAGATATTACTTGACGCAAACTAATTGTGGGATTTTCTTGTACACTATTAGAGTTAAATTTTGCACTGTTGACAGGACTATAATTGCAAATGGGTGCGTTTATAAGTGGTAAGGAAGCAAGCCACTTGCGAGATTTAAAATCTGGTCTTGGATCACAGGTTAATACTTTCCGTTTACTTATAGGCGGTGATTGTTCCATAATTTTTTGTTCTGGGTCACAACAATATGCTTTCAGAAAGGTTAATCATTGGTTGCAATTTTTCTAGTATACAATTTTGAGATTCTTTTGAATGATCATTTGAATTTAAATCATTACTAATATGTAGCTCGGGTGCCATTTGGGGGACAGATTCCTTGGTTATGACAATTGATGCGGGTGATTGATTTAGGATTTCGACTGAGCAGTTAGGATGTAAAGGCTTTGTCTCTCTATCAAAGACAATTGATGCGGGTGATTGATTTAGGATTTCGACTGAGCAGTTAGGATGTAAAGGCTCTGTCTCTCTATCAAAGACAATTGATGCGGGTGATTGATTTGGGATTTCGACTGAGCAGTTAGCAGATGTACTACAAAGCGAAATAACCTGTGTCGTTATTGTTATTTGACCTCTAAATTCGCTCATCAACGCCCAAATTTAGAAGATAGCACAGGCCTTTGAGTGTCTGTATTGAATGTCAACAGAACTTGTGACGATACTAAAACCGATTCTATCGACGATGATACAAAACATACAATTTGAATCTAAATTCGGTTTATTGTTCTTTTGAGTTTTTTGCTGCGCCGCACTAGCTGTATTTATTTAGTTTATTGTGTGAACCGCTATTTTTAGTTGCGTTAGCACAAAGCCATCTGGATTGTGACAAGTGCTAAAATTGCAGAAATGGTATATCGACTTTTCCACTCCTCCCATGGATATGAACTAAGCGCTAATTGAAAACCTCCCATATTTTGGGAGATTTTGCGATGTCACATGACCAGCCTTGACCAGGGTCTTTGCCACAGCGTGGGCCATGGAGCGTAGGTAAAAGAGCCGGGCTTGCGAGGTTGGCTCTTACGACATTTGATCTCCCGGGTGCAGTGTGAGTGAACTTTGAACCCACATGCTGGGTACCCTATCACTTTATTGCCGTTTTATGTACAGAACAATTCTTCAAAGCATTGCCTCATTAACCGGAATTTACATGCGTATGTAAATTACGCTTTAATGTTTCAATTGCTTCTCGACTTAGGGATTTATGGAGTAAAGACACATAGGCAAAATTTGTGGGAGAATGGGGTTAGGGGTGAAGTACTCTGGTGAATTATTTACAAGTTTTTTGATTAATAGACGAAAAATGTCCTAGGGGTGATAATCCCCTAGAACTGGCGCTCTATGGGTGATAATCCCCTAGAGCTATGGGGTGATAATCCCCTGGAAGAAGGGGTGATAATTCCCTAGAGAATGGGGTGATAATCCCCAAGAAGTGAAGAAGGGGTGATAATCCCCTAGAAGGCGGGTGATAATCCCCAAGAAGTAAATAAGGGGTGATAGTCTCCCATAGGCAGATGATATGATTTAATTAACTATATTTTACATGAAATATAGATTGAGTCTATGGGCCAAAAGGTGACCCTATGGAGCACTTCAACCCTACAAATACACACAGTGTATTCCCCATAAACAAAACAAGACCCCTGTCGCGAAATATAAAGAGCTTTGGAAAGTTTTCTTTATGTTCACGTAGTTAACATTTTGTTCGCCCTACACCTCGGTGTTGATATTGGCAAGCATGGCTGATACTCGGATAATGTGGACGCTGGTGTCCGTATGCAGCGTTCGTAGCAATCAGAAGACCACCTGCCCATAGTTTTGATTAGCCAAGGGGGTGATTTTGCCTCGGCTGCAGTTGTTGCTGCCCCGATTCTGAAACTATGACCGGCGTACTTTGTAGCATTAAAACCCGCTTGGGTGATGAGCTTTCGAGTTTCGGTTGTTAGAAAATGCTTCGAAAGCGGTTTTCCAGAATCATGGATAAGTAGTGGACCATCCTTTGGAGGACGTACGGCAAGGTACCTTTTCAAGGCACTAACGGGGCAAATTTCTGAGTTGGTAGCTCCGATTGTGATTGTGTGGCCAAGACGAAATGAATCGGTTTTAGATTCCTTGATGAGCACAGTCATGAATTGCCCGCATTGTGTGCCATTTTGTGGCGAAAATGTGATACTATCGCGGGTGAGGTGCACGTTCGGATTAAATTTAGCATTGCACGTGAGTTCACCGAGCCGCAAGAAACCGAAAAATGCTAATGTAATTGCTGCCCAGATCATCACACTGGGAAAATTCTGTGTATGTGAAACGGCAAGCAAAAGGTAGAAAAGTTTTAAGTGGTAGACTGTGATTGGTAGCCGAATTTTATTTTTGTCTCCGTGGGCACGTTTGATCCCTCGCAGGACAAGTTGTAGGCGTAGCATTTTGTGTAGATGCAGTTGAAAACCATGGCGAATGTGGTAATGAAGGACAGCTGCTAGATATATCTTTATCAAAGGGTATTTGACGGACTTTGCAAGGAAAGCCACAAACTCGGTAAGTAGAACTTCATTCGCAGGCATGCACGCATGAACCTGTTTTCGCTTATATAGCTCGATAAATGTGATGAAATGTTTCTCGCAAGTGCTATATGCAGTGGCGGTGCCAAGGGGAGGCAAGCCCCCCCCCATTTTGCCCCCCTTTCTCAAATGTCTGCGGAAATTATTGCCGTAAAAGATAATATTTCATAGTAATAAATTTAAATACAAAATAGCTACAGGATAAATTGGGCGTGACTGTCAATTGTTGACACATCGTAATCTAATTTTAGTTCTGACTAATTGAAAGTTATGATACATTACAAATTACTATGCATGTTTCGAATGAAAACATCCTATATGACTGTATAAGATTGCTGATTTGAACTTGAAGATGGATATCAGAAACTTCTGTCATGTCGAGAAGTCAGTGCAGATGAAGTTTGTGCGCCTGCCGAAAAACGTTCTAGAACAGATTTGCTACATAGTGATGAATTAAGTGACATGGGAGCGTCCGAAGTAGAGGAGGATGACGCTGAAGATATTCTTGGACAACCAGAAGACGTAAATATTTCATCTTTATCAATCCTGACTTCGCAGCTGCAAAAAACTTTAACTAACGCCAGGCCTAGAGACATTTCGCTGTTACCAGATGATGGACCAATGCAGCCAGGATTGAAAAAGGAATTTCACTTTCCTAAGACACACGGTCGACGTTTTACTCTTGAGTGGTTTAAGAAGTTCCCCTGGCTCGAGTATTCCGTTTGCGAAGATAAAGTCTACTGTTTTACCTGCCGTCACTTTTCCATGGTAGCTAAAAATACTTCACGTCCTTTCGTGACCGAGGGTTTTTGTCAGTGGAAGAAATGTACTGGTGAAAGTCAACAAAACAACAGACTATTAAAACATAAAAACTCCCAACTCCCTGTAGACAGCACGACAGGTACAGTGTTTTATAATTATCCAAGTATCATGGTTGAAAGTTTAAAACAATTTTCAAACCTTTTAGCGCAGTTTTAACAATTTATATTTATTTCTGTGTAGGTAAGGCTTACATGGAATCAAAACTTGCAAACCAGACAGTCACAAGTTTACTTAATGAAGGTCACAACAAACTAGTCGAACGAAATCGCAACTACCTCAAAATCATCGCCGATACCTTGCGACTGACCGCAGTTCAGAATATTGCTCAGCAAGGACATCGTGAATCCAACACCGACGATGACAACAACAATAAAGGAAATTTTCTTGAAATATTGTCCTTTATGAAGAATTATTCCGAAATCCTTAAGGACAGACTTGAAAGCGGACCCCAGAATGCCAAATACACGCACCACACTTTACAAGATGCTATTCTTGAAATTCTCAGTGATATAATATTAGATGTTACCAAAGAAATTCAGGAAGCCGAATATTTCGCTCTTTTGGTTGATGAAACAATAAACTTGTCGAAACAAGAACAGTTTACTTTTGTGCTTCGATATGTGTTTGAGTACGAAGTGCACGAAGAATTCCTTGGTTTTAGAAATGCGAAGGAGCTCACCGCCGAGAGCCTTAGTGATGCTATTCAAGATGAAACGAAACAGATCGGTGTTAACATCAACAATCTTGTCGCTCAGGGTTATGATGGAGCCGCCGTCATGAGTGGAAAATGTTCCGGTGTACAAGAGAGAATAAAAACAGTTGTACCGCAAGCTCTCTACGTGCACTGTTTCGCTCATCGTCCGAACCTCGTGATTGTTCAGGCAGTAAAAAGTGTTGTGCCAGTGGCTGATTTTTTTGCAGCGTTGCAAATGTGTTACAACTTGGGCTTGTCAAGTGCGCGCCGTCAGTGCTATAAATGATCGATTTGAATGCCTAATTAAATTTCTTCGTCATGTTGATAGCACTGATAATAATCGTGACCAAGCACTAGTCGCTCGCAGTATTTTAGATCAAATTAGCTTCGTATGCATGACGTGTCACTTGAGGCAAAAGGGGCATCTGATACGCTCCAAAATTCCAAGCTTAATTTCCTTAAAGCCGCAGATCTTATTGAATCTCTTATATTGAAGAGCTAGAAACATATCAGTCAGATCAGAAATCCGTCGATTATTTCGAAAATTCTTTAGATAGAGCAAAAAAAAGTAATCTAAGTTGTTGCTCAAACATTTCAGTGCGACAAAAAACGGTTCCAAGTAACTTGGATGATTTTGTAATTTTGACTTTGCTCGGAAAACGTGACACTATTTCAGGATCGTCCAATATGAAAAGAGTAGTATTATATCCTACAATTGATGTTTTTCTAAGTGAGCTCAGAAGGCGTTTCAGCGAACAAAATCTTGTAATATTTCAATCACTTTCAGGCCTAGATCCAACATCAAACGCATTTCTAGATTTTCATAGGATTTCACCGCTTTCAAGAAATTACAATTTAAACTTAGAAGATATCCAAATGGAAACAAAATGGAAGAGGTTGTAGATACGTTTATTCAAAAGTTTCTGAGATGCTGAGTTACCCTGGTTTAAATTACATTGAAGGTTATATATAAGTGTATTTTAGAGTCTTAAGTTTACAAGGGGTACGTAATAATTATGCAACCCTGTTCACATTGTTGATTAATAACTGTAACGAAGTTGATATTTGTAAATAATAAAAATTAAATGTAAAGGGAATGGTTGTCTACCGTAATGAAAACATAAAGGCATGGGTAAACAGCAGTCCTTTTTCAAAATTCTTATTACACACCGGTTTATGGTGCCCCCCAAAATATTAATTTGCCCCTCAAATGCCCCGCCAAATTTTCAGACCTGGCGCCGCCACTGGCTATATGTCTGTTGTGTTGTCTGGGCAAGTGACAAGCTTATGTAATGCTGGATGTCCTGATTCAGAGAGTCAGTACTATCGCAGGAATTGGACAGGGAGTTGTCTCTGCTTCCGGCGCCAACAGTTGGAATCGCTGAAATTAGAAACGAGAAACGACATCGGCAACCTCGTTGTGTTTGCCGGGAATGTGTACTGCGCGAATGAATATATTATGCTGCAGGGTTAACAGAGTTAGGTGGCGCAGCAGATCCATAACCCTAGCTATTTTAGAGCGTTTGGTATTTATCATGCTAACGACGGCTTCGTTATCGCAGTGAAACTGAATCTTGTGGTTTTGCAAAAGGTTTCCCCAAACTTGGCAAGCAACGACAATACCAAAAAGTTCTTGCCATGCAATACTTATGCCTGGATTGTCTTACTTCTGATTTGGTTCCCATTTCCCTTGAAACCACCGATTAGCAAAAATACCACCGTAACCTAATGTGCCGGAAGCATCAGTGTGCAAGTCTAACGTGTTAGAATCCTGCCACGTTGATGACAGGAAAATTTTTTTCCCATTCCAGTCACTAATAAAGGCTTTCCACATTTCAAGATCACGGAAAAACCCAGAGTTCAACTTGATGTTGTGATGTGATTTCTTCACATTCCTTGTTAAGGCAATCATGCGTTGCAAGAAAGGGCGACCAGGGGGAATGACTTTGCATGCGAAGTTAAGCGTGCCTATCAAGGACTGTAACTCTTTCAGAGTCTTACAGGACCGTCTGTGTTGGAAGTCCCCAAATATGCCACGTAGCCTTTCAATTTTGTCTGAGGGGAGACATGCTTGCATCCTATTTGTGTCTAGCAAAATTCCCATAAACTCAACTTGTGAAGGGCCTTGCGTTTTCCCGGGGGCTATGGGTATTTTTATCTTCTCAAATGTAGAGAGCATGTTACCTAAGCTGCGTTGGCAAATGCTGTCACAAGCACAGGGTAGCCCGATAAGCGGTTGGTTTAATCCAGTGGGTTTTAAAATTGTTTTATCGTTGTTTTCATTGATAACCTTTATAGCATTTACTGCATGAAGTATGGCGGTGGTCACTCAACCGCCGACACAATAACGCAGGCGGAGTGCAATGATTATGTAATGATTATGTATATATTATACTAAAAGGTTGGCAACTCTCAAGCGCCGTTTTACCTATACGAATTATATTGAGAAACTTACACATGAAAATAATCCAACTTAAACACCAAAAGTTGGAAAAAAACAAACTCTACATAAACATTGATTTCTTCAGAGACTTTGACAAGTGTTTTTTCGCTTTAAAACAATTGCAAATGCAAGAATTTTGAGAATATATAAACGTTTTCCGGCTTAAAATGGCGAGTAGCTGTTAGGATGCACAAAACCTGCCTGACGTTACAGATCCTAAAGATCCCATTGGCTAATTAAAATAAACAAACTTTTTGCGCGAACATCAAATTTCTCGCCGCCAGGGGGGGTTTTGCATGAAAATTTCTAAAAACAACCATGAAAGCAAAGCTACAAGTCAGCAAATAAATTGCAAAATTTATACAAGGGGCGAAAAATTAAATACCTTGTTGCGCGAGCGCGAAAATAGAAAAGTTTCGAAAGAAGGCAAGAAACAGTTTTGACAGGTAAGTGCCTATTAAGTGGCCTTTTTACTTTATTTGATATAAAATAGGGGCTAATTTTATGTATTTTCACTCTCGCATTTACTTCGTAAAGACATTGCTACATGGTGAACAAAGGAGACCCTCATATATTCAAACAAAACACTTTATTTTTTAAAAAAAGCTCAGTTTAAGAGGCACAAAATAATGTGAGGATACTAAAGAAGACAAGAAACAGTATTATAGCAGGTAATTTTCCTTTGTCTTTTGCTTTTTCTCATATAAAATAGCGTCTGAATTTCACTTATTTTCACTCCCGAATTTACATCGGCATTAAAAATGAAACACTATACTTTTTTTAAAAAGGCGGCTCAAGCACGAAATAACCTGATGTGAACTGATATTAAGGAAGACAATTAAGAAACAGTTTTGACAGGTAATAAATTTCCATTTGTTTTGTGTTTTGGCTTATTGAAAAAGCGCCTGAATTTCACGTATTTTCATTCGTGTAATGATAATATATGAATGCACGTATAGCTATCAGTATAAATGCAAGGAGCTCGTAAAACAAAAATATTTTTAACAAACTCAATATAGTTTAAATGGAAACCGACACAAAAATAAGGAAAGAAGCTTGGCCCAGGAGAAAGTGCTTGGTTTGGTAAGTGAAATTGCTGGTATCAGCTTTTATAAAAATATCTATATAATTTGCAAACTTGTGTTTGTTTTCAGTTATTAATAAAGCGAGAACAGTAGCAGCCAGAAGCCTGTTTATATGTTAAACTGTGCAGCAGTTTAGAAATATACACGACGGGACAAGTTGCATGAACAAATCTTTTCTATTCAGCCAAACCCCGGATTGGCCGCATATACAATCAATATAGCTTTATATATGCCTATATCTCAAATGCACATTATAATATTTTGAAAACAACTGGATATGTCGAAAATATGGCATGTTCGGATATCCAGGCCGCACAGAAATACGTATTTCGAACAGACGGCTATTTTAATAACATTTATGGTAAACTTGTGAGATTGTTTTAAAACTCACTTACCAAGTAAAACGGCGATTGATTGCAGAGTGGAGTGATCAATCTGACAAATACTATAAATTCCTCCTTCGCCAAAAATATCCCCGTTTTAAGATCCAAATCCAAATGTTTATTAAAGAGTAAATGCCTGTAAATGTCCACACAGGTATTTTAAAACGATGCATGATTTCTCAACATCCTCTGATGTTTGTAAAAACAAATCCATTCCATTTTATTTCGAAGGCAGGTCCACTGAAAAGCAATTCACTGCATAAAATGTTCAATCCCAGCTAGCCAAATGTCAGACTGCCAGTACGTACATATTCTTTTTGAAATGACACCAATAAGTAAAATACTTGAAAAAGGGATTCTTGAGAAGATGTACTTTTGCTTAAATCCAACTAAACGATCGAAAACAACCATAAACAAAAAAAAACAGCTCAAAAAAAAAGCATGCCGACCGAGCACACACCGTGATTGACAGTTGACGTTAGAATGTTATTTTACAGTCACATGGGTTATCATGTGAATTGGCCGGTTTGTAGGGAGGAGTTGGTGCGGCAAAAATAATTAGAACCTGTATTCATAATTGATTAATTCTAACACTTATTCACTGGCATATTATTTTATTTTATAGGCTCATCGACAATTGCGATTTACATTACGGAAGCTTTACCTCCACGCAAACAATTATGCAGGGTATGTTAAGCATATGCGGACCTCAAGAAGGAACAGTAAGCGAAGTTAAAGTTGAAAGAATAGTATCTTCAATATGGGGCAACAAGGTCGTTAAAACAAAATCGTCTTCGTCAACTGGATCCGGTTATAGAAATCTACAGATCCGCCAAATAAAGCTTAAAGATAAAGAGGAAATCGTAGGCTTTGATGAATCAACTGTTGATAGCATTAAAGTACTCGGTAGAAAGTTCCAAAACTGGATTGTTGATCTTTCGTCTCAGGAGAAAGGCGCCATTTCATTTTTGCGACTTTCGAATACAGTTGAAACAGATATAGATATAGAAGGGTGTCGTGTTTTTCCAGAGATCACTATCAGTTTGTACCCTGCTGTCAACACTCTTATCCGCACACACGGTGATGCTGTTCCAATTGAGGTTGTTGAAAGATCAAGCGAAAAAATCGTCGTTTCACTGCATACGATTGAAAGGGCATTACGTCACGTTAATGCAACCTGTCTATGCTTAGGCCAAAAACTTCCTGACCATAACGACAATACAAAAAGCGCTGACATTGCTGTTTTAGGTTCCAAATTGGTATGCATCAAGTCTTCCAGTGCTGCGTCAACATCGCTAATTTCAAATTCATGTTTGCTCTTGATTCCAAATGGTATTTCCACGTGCGAAGCTTGGGAAACGTAAAAGATCAGAGC